CCCTGCCTGTGCCCGACCCCCCAGCCATCAAGCGTGTCGTGTCCCCCGTCACTTCCTTATAACACCGTCTCCACTTCCTCTTCTGCACAAAAAAGCTCTCTGTACGAATGACCGGTACGGGATAAAATGAAAATGATGCCTGCTGTGCGTTGGGTACCGGGGGCTGTGTTAGGAAGCGCACCTGTGCCTTCCCTCCTTGCTAGGCCTGGAGTTCCTTGGGGCCACTTGTTCCAGAAAGAGGTCTGGAGAGAGCCCCTCACTGTCCCTGGTACTCAGCATGGACCTGCAGCCCAGGGACTGAATCCTGACGGGCGGGAGGGAGAGTAGAGGGATGCACAGACACTGCGCCTTACGTGAGACCATCCAGACTGGCATGAGAGCAGAGGGACTGGGCAGCAGGGGCAGGGCCTCCATCTCGCCAAGGGCAGGAATCAGTCTGATTGTTTTGAATTCCCTTCACCTAGGGCAGCTTTTTATGCGAAATAGTCTATCAGTTTTTTTAAAACCATTTTTCTTTGATCCAGTGAATATTACTGATGTGCTCAGCTGCAGCAGAGGAGTTCCTTTAGTGATTCCTTTCACACTTTGAATAATTATCTCCTCATTTATCAGCTTCATAAATCCACATTTTCATAAATCATCCTGCTAAATAGAGGCCCACGCGGAGGGCCAGCCCCAGCTTCTGGGGAACGGGCTGCCGCCATAACCGTTAAGGTAGCATCAGGAGACAGCGTGGTCTCCAGAGGGAAGTTGAGGCAGGCACTCTGCCAGGTGGTCAGATTCTGACCCCCCATCCCCCTCCCCCATCAGCCCCCTCCCCCATGTTGGGGCCTCCCAGGGCAAGGGCTCCGTGTGGCCCTCTCCCCGGAGACTGCCCGTGCTTTCCAAGGGAGCCCCGTGGCTGTTGGCTCCAGAGAGTGCGGCTCTTGCTGTGCTTGGAAATTGTCTCCTAGTTACTTGTGTTTTCCTTCTGTTTTACACTGTTGCCTAACCGTCAGGCATCTCCCAGGCTTCCGCGCTGACAAGAGATAAGCGTCTGTAATAAATGTTCCTGCCACGATGGTTGAAAAGATGGATGTAGTAGCAGCTCAAGAAACAGTTAAGAACAGAGAAAGAAATCACCCATAAAGCCACCACCCTACCTTAACAACTGATGTAATTTTTACATTTATCACCTTCCATTCTGGGTCCACAAACATACCTTTTTCCAACTTTGCACTTAAACACATATGTACATTCTTATTCTGCCATTTTCACCACTGAACAGATCCCAACAATAGCCCAAGTTTCAACAGATTCCTCATAATTATAATGGTTGCATGGGGGCCCGGGTTCCACTTTCCTGCCCTTGGACAGGAACATTTGGCTTGCTTTCAGGGTTTGTTATGACTGATCAGGAACCATTTGCCAGAATGTACTTACTGACCAAAGACCAAAGGTGTCGCATTTTCTGTATTTTTATATTACTTCTGAGAAGGTTCTGTGAGTTACTACCAGGGTCTATGATATTTTCTGGTTTCAACATCATCCCACCACCTGTAGAAGTTGTCTTCGTCTGGTGAAGACTCTGGAGCCAAACTGCTTAGGTTTGCATTTTAGTCCTGCCAGTGTTACCGACTGGGGTCACTGGTTGGGACCTTGGTTCTTTTCATCGATGCAGAAAGGATTTTAAGGTCAATGAAAAGAAAAGTAAAGCAAAATGGGGTTTGTTTGTTTGTTTGTTTGTTTATTTATTTATGTTTAAATTTAGGCTTGCACTATCAGTTTTAATTGAAAATATTAAAACAGCTTAACTAATAATGAATTATAAAACTTTGATAATTAAGTGTTACGGCCATTTATGAGGCATCTATTCGTTATTTTTGTAGGCCTGAAAGAAACTTTGCATACTTGTATTCTCCATTCTCCATTTCCGAGAAAGATTATGAAGGGGTGTAAAGCAAACAAAATCTGTAAACAGCTGTACTGTAAGAGCATAGGTGGCTTTAGCTCATGTTTTGGGTGTGAAATTTAACTCATTTCACGGGATACAAAAGCAGGTGCAATAGTAAAGCTGAATCATGAAAACCCCCATCAGTTACAAGTGGGGCTTATTGAGCATACATTCCAAGCAAGGAGCAGGTGGGGGAGGGGGTGGGGAGAGAGAGAGAGAGAGAGAGAGGAGAGCGCACATGGCCCCCAACTCCTGGGATTTAAAGAGGGATTTTCTGTGTGGAGACTTTGACTTGCATTCAGGGATGATTGACAGAAACTATTTTTTCTGGGCATGCCCTTACCCATAATGTATACAGAGAAGCCCACAGGAGGTGGGGTCAAAACTGAAGTGCAAATTTTATTATAATTAGTTTAGGGCCCTAGTAAGGTCACATTGGCATTGAGGTCATATCTTCTTCCTCTGAGCTTGCACCAAGAACCGCCTGTCTCTGAACCTGCCTGCTGGCGGTCTGATGGCAATGTTGGTCCGGCCCCGGTTCAGGACCCCAGGGCAGACCCCATGTCTTATGTCTCACTTCCTATCTGACACCACCATACCACCTGTGTGACCTTGGGCCTGTTACTTAACCTCTCTGTGGCTCCATTTCCTTATCTATTAACCCTTTGAGTACCAACCAATATCCTAGGAACTATGCTAAAATTGCCAAGGAATTTTTGCTGATTTTACAGCGGTAAACTTCATAAAATCATAGTACCTGTAAAAAATTAGGCAGATAAATGCCAGTGGTCAATTTTAGAACTACAAACATTCAGCATCATAAGTAATTTGCACTTAGGTGCCATCTGTCAATAAAGAGCGAACTACTAGCATCTAATAGTGACACTGCAGGAGGAGCACGATAGCGCTCCCAGCACTTTTGGTGAAAGACAGGAGGAGTGAGATCACGCTCCCCGGTACTCTAGGGGTTAAATGGGGATAATAAATGAAATTACTTCATAGATCAGCGGTTCTCAACCTGTGGGTCGTGACCCCTTGGGGGTCGAACGACCCTTTCACAGGGGTCGCCTAAGACCATCGGAAAACACATATATAATTACATATTGTTTTGTGATTAATCACTATGCTTTAATTATGTTCCATTTGTAACAATGAAATTGAGGGTCACCACAACATGAGGAACTGTATTAAAGGGTCGCGGCATTAGGAAGGTTGAGAACCACTGCCTTAGATGGTTGTGTCAATCCTCATGGCTCACAGTACTCCATGTTTGTGAATTCATCTGCTCGCTAGAATTTATTTGCAACTCCAAAATCAATACTTTCAGTGCTTTTACAGTAATTCAAAGACATTTGCAGAGTGGCAGAACATTTTAGTTGCACGTTGTCAGCTGAGGGGTAGAAGGAGGCGACCCTGCCTTCTGTGTCGGCTCTCACACTGTGAACAGGGTCCTCTCCGCAGTATCCTTAGGGCTGCGCTTTCCACATGCGTGTGCTTGTTGTCGGTGATCCCGCTGTTTAAACAGGCCTCAGGCATAGCGCTGAAGTGCTCTCTAGTGTTGTTAAGCATGAAGAGGCTGATGTTTCTTTCAGAGAAAATACACGTTAGGTAAGCTTCATCCAGGCGTGAGTGTGAGTGCTGCTTGCCATGAGTTCAATGTTAGTCAGTCGACTCTGTATTCAATAGGTGCCTTCCTACAGAAACACGCATACAGCAAGGTTATGTATTGCTCAGTGGTAAAAGCACTGACCAGCGGCTCGCAGGAACCAAACCTGTGTCTCCCCTAGGAGCTGTGTTCACTGTTTGCTAATTCAGGGTTTGCAGCAACTTTATAGAGTGTAACTACCGAGAATAATGCGACTCAACTGTTGGTATAAAGCAGTGGTTCTCAACCTTCCTAATGCTGGGACCCTTTAATACAGTTCCTCATGTTGTGGTGACCCGCAATTTCATTGTTACAAATGGAACATAATTAAAGCATAGTGATTAATCACAAAACAATATGTAATTATATATGTGTTTCCGATGGTTTTAGGCGACCCCTGTGAAAGGGTCGTTCGACCCCCAAAGGTGTTGCGACCCACAGGTTGAGAACCGCTGGTATAAAGTGTTTAGAACAGAGTTTGGCATATGGTACCTCCCTATATGTGATTACTATTGTTTTCTAAAATTTACATTTTGCTAGTTTGGGAGGAACTTATTTAGTCACCTGCTGCCATGTTGGTTGGTTGTATTTCCTCTTGTGCTGATGTCTAGTTGATAGGAGTACATGAGGGGGTTTGTCATGAGACTGAAGGGTTTAGCGTCAGGTGGGAGCAGCTCTGGAGGGGCCGAAGAGGACATGCACACCATCTGTGGCGCAGGAGTGGGGAAAGGACCAGGCCTGAAGTGTGAGCTGGCCTTTAGAGAAAGCTGAATCAAAACCTGAACTGGAGACCCACCCGGCCATGCTCAGGCCAAGAGCCTTTTAGCCTATGAGTGTGATAATCACATCGTTAATCTTGAACAAAAGCCCGCACTGATATATTTTTAACTGCATTAGAATATAAAATGATGACAGTTGACATATCAGGCGAGTGGTTGAGAGGACATTTATTTACTGAAGCAAAAAACCAGCCTGCCTGGTCGGCCGGGGGGCTTCTGACTTGTTGGTGTGTTCTGTGAAATCTCTCACAAAGGCTCCGACCCTAATCCACGTTTGCTTACACACTGAACCGAGGGCCGCTGTCCCCACAAGAGGAAACGCATGGCATTGGGATGGTCCCTGGGAGTCCGGGCTGTGTGGTAGCAGTGCGCATGCGTGCCCGCTTTCTGTCTCAGCCACTGTGGCTTGTTGCTAAGGTGGGCACATTTGAGCCTCAGAATGAAATCAGAAGCATCCCTGCAGGGCGGGAAAGTCTTCCTCCTGCTTCCCCCTGGGTGTAATGGGCTTCCTCCAGGCTTTTTGTCTGCAAGCAGCTGGGGACCCACCCCAGCCTCTGATGATCAGAGCAGCAGTTCAATTTCCACATGGGGGTGGGGGTGGCCCAGATCCTGTAAGAGGATCAGGTGATCCTTTCTCTTCCAGGATATTAAAGCATTTGAAAGCCAAGGACCCCGTGCAGCTGAGACTGGAGCACTTGGAGCAGGGCTTCTCCATCTACGTCAACGGGGCCAACTCAGAGCTGAAGGCGTCGCCACGGAGAGCCGTCCACTCCCACGTCTCCAGAAGTGCCTCGCAGGCCGAGGGGGCACAGGGTGAGCCCAGGCCCTTCGGTCCAAGCAACAGTTCCGTTAACTCATTAGAAGCAGTGGGGCTGCATCTTATGCACATAAACTTACCAGCAAACAACTAGTTAACCTATACAAGTCAAATACCCATTTGGCCAGAAGGAGAGAGCATGAGAGTGAGAGAGAGAAATCCTTTTTTATTTCTTTTAAAACTAGTCTTGGCCTCCACTGCCCCAGGGCAAAGGGGGCCAGAGCAGTGATTCCTGCTTTTACACTTCCCACTTCTCAAGTGCCTATAATTTAAAGAAATGCCTAAGAGAATGTTGATTATACCTGATTTTCACTCGAAGTGTCTTGTTTTGATTCCACTGTTCATTTTTTAATGTAGTTACTCCATACCTGCACACTTTGAGCGGCTTCATGTGTCCTCTAGTAAAAGCACAGGAAGTCTGTAAAGTAGAATAGAAAGCAGCTAACCCAGTGGCCGGGCCCAACATAGGCACCAAAAATGACCCCGTGGTTGAATGAGTGAAGTGGCAGAGCACATGGAGGCAGGTCCCACTTGGCCATGCTACTTTGGGAGAGCCATTTTGCCTTTCTAAGCCTTTGCTTCTTTATCTTTAAAAATCGAACTAACAAGGGTGCCTGACCGTGGGGTGCCAGGGTGCCCTTCAAAGCTGCCTTGCCTGGGAGGCTAGTATAGTATCGAGTTGCACTAGATCAGGGGTGGGCAAACTTTTTGACTCAAGGGCCACAATGGGTTCTTAAACTGGACCGGAGGGCCGGAACAAAAGCATGGATGGAGTGTTTGTGTGAACTAATATAAATTCAAAGTAAACATCATTACATAAAAGGGTACGGTCTTTTTTTTTTTTTTTTTAGTTTTATTCATTTCAAACGGGCCGGATCCGGCCCGCGGGCCGTAGTTGGCCCACGGCTGCACTAGAGAGTACAGAAGAGGAGCTGGAATGAGGCACAGCTGGGTTTGAACCGTGTTCTGCCACTTTCTAGCTCTGAGACCTCTGCAATTGGGTCCTCCCTGACCCTCAGTTTCCTCTTCTGTAAAATGGGAATCGTTATGCCCATCTTACAGGCTTGCCAGGAAGGTTAAATGGCAGAAGGAATGTTTCTGACACACAGTAATCTTGATTTGTGTTGTTACTGAAAGGACAAAACAGGACTGATAGCTGTGTCCTTAACCCCTCTTCCAAGAAGAAGCCACAGAATGTATCAGTTACTCAGCCTGCCCTTATCTCGGCCAATGGGAAAGCAGGGGAAACTAGCCCAAGGCCAAAAGTATGCTAGCCACCACCCCTGTCTTTGTGTAACCAGACCCTAGCTGCACCCTGCCCCCCCCCCCCCCCCCCCCCCCAAGCCCTATAAATTCTTTGTTCTCTTGGGACTTGGGGCTCTCTATTGCATCCAGTAATGGAGGCGGGGAGGGGGGGGGCTGGACCAAGCGAGCTTGTATAAAAGACTCTCTGCTTTTGCATTGGATTTGGTGCTCCCTGGTGGATCTTTGGGGGGGGGGGGGTCTTGAAATCTGGGCATAAGACTTACCACAGGCACAGTAAAATCCCAAGCCATTAACAGACAGTGAAAGTGATGTCCTGAAAGCTTCCTTCCCGAGGAGAGTTACTGCAATTCCTTTTGGAGTTTAGCATGAGCCCCCTAGCCCTCAGGGCAAAGAGGAAAATGGAATGACTCTTCTAGCTTTCATGGCAAAGGAACCTGGCGAGCTGCTGCTACTTAGGAGAAGCAGGCCTCTCTGAGTCCAGGTTTCAGGGAGGGCAGATAGCAGGAGTCCCTGTACTGGGGCCGCCAGCAGTACCTTCACTCATTCAACACACTTCTCCCCCCACTCCCTCCCCCTCTTTACACAAATGCTGGCCTATTGTGCACACTGTCCTGTCTCCTGCTTCTATCCCTGGAGAGTGTTCCTTTTGTATATAGACCTGCTCCATTGGGCTGTACATTATTATACATACTAGAGGCCCAATACACGCAATTTGTGCAAGGGCCTTGGCCCTGGCCCCGCCCGCCATGGCTTTGTCTGGAAGGAAGGACATCCCGAAGGATGTCTGGTCTAATTAGCATATTATGCTTTTATTATTATAGATTACTATTATTCCATTTTTGCTGGGCATTTAGCTTTTCTAATGCTGTGCTGCTACAAATGGTGCTACAGCGAATAGCTTCACATACACGATTGTGGGTACACTGACGTGTACTTAAATGTAAGTTATGAAACTGACATCACCGTGAACTTGCCACCTGTGCCTCACCGATTCTCCTCCTTCATCTCTGGTGTAGATTATGGACGAAGAACCCTGTTTCGAGAAGCTGAAGAAGCTTTAAGACGCAATTCACGGACAGCCCCCAGCAAAGCCCAGCGCCGCGGATGGCACCAGGTCAAGAGCGTGGCCCCAGCTCGCACTTTAGAATAAGGAGTGGGGTTATTGAGGGAACGGAAACATAATCTTGGCGGGGCGTTGAGAATCTCGGCGGGCAGTGGGTGGGCTGGCTGGGCACTCACGGCAGCGTTGCCCTCTCTGCATGTGGCACTGGCCTCTGGAGGGCAGAGGGCCCAGGGGATCCTCCGGCCTCTCTCTCGGCATGATCTTCCCTTCTGGGCTATCACAGGTGGGACTCACAGCCCTGTCATGATGACTCGTTCATCTCGCTGTTTTTTATTGAGCACCTGCTATGTGTCAGGCACGGCCTTAGATGCCAGGCATGCAGTGGGTGAAAAGACAGCACCTGCCCCACAGACCTGAGATGCCACTTTGATTGCCTTGAGGCTGCTGCTGCTAGTAGCTTGCATTTTTGAGCCCCTGCTGGTACCAGATGTGGACTCAGTTCCCGTGTGACTCCTTCCTTTGCCCTCACAGGAGACCTATAGGGTAACTTTCAGTGTCCTTCCTCTTTTAAGGGAGCTGAGGAGATGAATGTTCAGAAAAGGTAGTGAGCTTTCCAAGGTCAACCACTAAGAAGGGGCAGAATCGAGACTCAAACCCAGAGCTTTGGCCCCAAGCTCAGTGTTCTTGCCCATATAGTCCTTATACCTTACCTTGCGGTTACTCACACCTGACCAGGGACCTGTTTGTCACAACCCCCACTGCACGTTCACATCGCCTGGGAGTCTTTAAAATACTGATTTTCAGGCTCCACCCCCAGAGATTCTGACTCATTTGGTCTGAGGTGAGGCTTGAGCAATGGTGTGTATATACGTTTTAATCCTGTGCTCACCAAGATTGGGAAGTACTGCATTGTACTATATGTATGGATCTACAAGTAAATTCATATACTTTATTGACCCATCTCTACGATAACCCTGTAGATCTGTAAGTCCTCATTGTGCCACTGAAGAAATTGAGGCCCAGAGAGGTAAGGTGACGACTTGCTCAGAGTCACACAGCTACTGAGGGAGAAGGGTAGGCTGAGGTTTCAACCCTGGATCTGTTACTCCAAATCCAGTGGCCCTCCGCTTCTCTGCAGAGACATTGGTGGGGCTCTGACTAAACGGGGGAGGGGGTTCTTGCTAGGCAGCTCCAGTGCCAGGGAGCAGGGCCTGTAGGGCGGGGAGCTGGAGGGCTCCTTTGTTCCGAGCAATGAATGCTACTTTCTCATTAATGAGGTCTTTCTCCACTTCCCACTTCAGACCATCCTTCTAGTTGTTCTGAGAGCCTTCTATTATCAGGAGCCATATTTGCATCCTGTCTGTGACTTAATGGCTGCCCCAGAATCTGTGCAATTTAAAAGACTTGGCCTAGGATTAATTAGCATCCCTCCCAGTCTCTCCCTGTGGTCCCACACTTCACAGGGCCTAATCATGGCTAATTTCCTGGCTCCCTGATGCCATGAACACTGTAATTGTCCTTCTGCACCATATCAGTGAGGGGTCAGCCAGTGCCTAACAACAGAGACCACTCAGGCTCTTTTAATCAGAAATGAATGTGATACAGGGAATCAAGTGCTTGCAAAATCCCTGGGCTGGCAGAGGATGGGCTCTGAGCTGGGCCTCCAGGAATGGCACTCAGCATCTCAGCCAGACCTGCCAGAAAAGCTGCTGCCTGGGACACAGTAGGGAAGGGGTGGGGTCAGCAACCGGAATGTGTCACCTTAGCTGTGACCCAGGAATGAAGAAGCTACAGCCGCTGGCCTCAGAGTGAGGCTGTGCTTGCTAGGGCAACACAGTGAAGAGACGCCCTGTGGAGCCAGGGTGGGATGTTGCTGAAAAGCCCGTCGCCTCTGTCACTGCTCCATCCCTCCACCACTGTGCTGGGCACAGACAGCCTCACCTTGCTTCTGCTTTCCCTGCCGGTGTGAGGCCATCTGATGGGCTCACCTGAGGCGCGTCCAGAACCCCAGCTGAAGGGAGTCTGGCGAGGCGCAGTGTCTAGCTTTCCGCCTCTGCTGAACAGGAAGGCATCTTAGGAGAGAGTGGAATGGGTACCGGGGTCAAACCCCCCCTCCTCCCCATTACTGACCAGATCAACGCTGCACCACCCGCACAGTGCTCTGGGACCACCCCTCAGAGCCATAGGCCCCAGGAAGCACTCAGCAGTGCTGAGTGGACCAGAGCCATGTTATGAAAGAAATCGTCCATTAATCTAACAATTACTACCATGGGCGGGGCTCTGGAGTTAAAAATAAAAAGTCAAATAAGGCTCTGTTCCCGCCCTGGAAGACCTTACCGTGAGGACGTGGGAACTGCCAACTGGGAGGGAGATGCGACCGCTGTTTTCAAACTCGCGGAGGACCTGCCTGGTGGACTCCGAGTTAACAACTTCAAGCCATAACGTGTTTTCGAACTCACATAGTTAACAAGACTTAGTCCCTTGCTAACATTTAAATTAAAAAGATTTTACATAATTTTTTAAAATTTTTTTTATTGAATTTAGAGAGAGGAAGGGAGAGGAATGCCTCCTGCCTACCTCTTACGGGGATGGAGCCCGCAACCTGGGCATGTGCTCTGACTGAGAATTGACCCGCGGCCTCCTGGCTCATGGGCTCATGCTGAACCACTGAGCCACACTGGCTGGGCCAAAAGATTTTATGTAATTTTTAAGAAGCTCTATTCCTGCTTCTCTAGAAAAATGGAAAGATCGGGCCCCCAGGCTGGGCCCCCTCCTATCAGGCAGCCACCAGTGGGAGCCAGGGAGCGGTCTGCCTGGTTAGGGGACAAGCCCGCTGGTTTGCTGCAGTCCCCACCGCTCCCTTAGGGTCCCAGAGCTGAGGCCCAGTGGAAGTTGGATTTTGTTATCTGCTCTGCTACTGTTTCTCTTACATCTTTCCGTTTCCCACCTGGCTCTGTGGGATATTTGAACCTGTGACCCCTAAGGAGTAGGAGGGAAAGGGCTTTGGAGTCAGACAAATTCCTTATTAGCTATGTGCCCTGGAGCTGACAGTGTGACCTCTCTGAACTTTGGGCTCCTCGTCAATGAAACCTCCCAGGGCTGCTGGGAAAGATGTGCTCACAGTGTGTCAGGTGGTCCATCAGCGGGGGCTCTGCCTGTGCTTCAGGTAGGAGCCCTTGGCAGCAGGTGACAGACAAGTCCAGAGAAGTGGTTAAGAGTATGGACTCGGCACCCCGATGCCCAGGTTCAAGGCCTTGGCTGCATCACTGACTAGTTGCACGGTCCTAGATGAGTTGCTAAACCTCGCGGTGCTTGTTTTCTGAAGTATAAGTAGGGTTGATGATGGTACCTGTCTCACAGGGCTGGTAACGAGGATGGAATGAGCCAATGTTTGGCGAGCATTTCAAGCAGCGCCCGGCACTGAGGAAGCATCAGTAAAATATATGACTGCTGTAGTCAGTGCAGGGCAAGTGCTGAGGGCGGTCTGCCTGGGGACACCAGGGCTCCTCACTCCTCACACGTCGGTCCTCCATTCATTCTGTGATCACTCACGAGCACCTCCTAAATTCTGGACACTTGTCGGTACTGTGGTCATAGCAGCGAGTGATGCAGGCCAGGCCCGCTCTCCTGGAGCTTGCTTTACGGGGCGTGGGTGGAGAGGCCAAGGATGAAAAGCACGTAAGCAAACACAAGCGTGTGTGAGAGGGAAGAGTGCACTGAGATGGCAGTGTGGGGGGAAGAGGTGCTCGAGAGAGGGTGGCTGCAGAGGCTTCCCAGGGGCCACGTCGGAGCTGACCCCTGAAGATGAGAGGGAAGGTCTGGAGGGCGAGTGCCCGGTGAGTGGCACAGTGAGGACACTAGGAAGTGGGGTCGGGCTGAAAGGAGGCTGGTGGCCAGTGCACAAAGGAGGCCCTAAATGAACTGGATGCACCAACTGCACTGTTACTGTCTTAGGAGGAGACTGGATTTGTCTCCTTTGGCCCTGAGTGGTGGCGTTATGAAGCAAGTTCTCCATGGAAGGGAGTTCTAGGGGACAGGTTTCGGGTGTGTAAGACAGAGATGAAGGTGGTCTCTCTACCCTTTTGAATGGGCTCCACTGTCCTTGGAGGCAGCCAGGGGTCAAGGTAGCAGAGTCTCCAATGGCTAGAGGTGGCCAGTTCTCAAAAGCCACCCCCTCAGGAGGTCCAGGGACCATAGCCCTGCCCAGCCCTTCAGTTACTCCCGTACCAACAGGAGGGACAGGTGTGGCTCCTGTGCATTTGCACTGGCTGGTCAGCAGGGACACAGCGGTCACGGTCTACACCCGGCTGGCTCCACCTCCTCCCAGCTTCATCCCTGCCTCTCCAACCTATTTCCCTGCCCATCTTTCTCAGTGTCTCCCCTAAACTCTGAGTCACACATCCCCTTTCTACTGACCAAGCCCCAAACCTTCTCGAGCAGGACAGATTTTCCTTCTTAGGGTCTTGCCCAGCAGCTAGGAAGCACTTTTGGGTAGAGCTGCCCTTGATGGAAGGGGCTGCCTCGGGCTCACTGGCCTGAGGATCCCTGGACACCAAGTCACAGAGTCAGCTAACTGCGGGTCGAGAGGCTGCCCAGCGGCACCCGCGAAACCCTTCTTGGGACTCCAGTTCTGAGGAACCAGCCAGGTGAATGGTGCTGCTTTGTTGGGCTTCCGAGCTGCCACCTGCCCTGTGGAGCCCTGGTGGTGATAGATGGGCCCTGGTCAGCACTGCCCCCCCCTCCCCCCAACACACACACTTCTTGGCCTTAGATCTTCCTGCTGCTTTCTGAGGATTAAGATTTATGGCTTCCTCGGCCTTGTAATACGTGGGTGGACAGCAGCCTAATCAACAGAGCTGTCGTTTACTAAAATGTTGTCAGATTTGATGAAAGTCATCGGCTCTTAGCATTAAATTGGTAGTGAAAGGATTGGCCTTCCAGCAATTTACGGTGGGGTGGGCTTTCCTGAAAGGCTGGGAAAGCAAGTTCACTGCCATTATTACAGCAGCAGCTCAGGCGCCCCCAGGAAAGCTCACGGTGGACCTGTGAAG